GTGGTACGAGAACCAGCCGATCTACTCGCGCCCCTTTGCCAAGGGCAGCCTCGGGTGGCTGCTCGAGACGATCAAGGTGCGAGCCGGGCTGCTGGCCGAGGAGGACCGTCGCGGGTCGAGCAAGTGGAGGGCTGCCACGCTGCCCCAGCAGCCGCAGGGACCCGTCCAGGGCCTAGGCGGCTTCCGCCTCGAAGAGATGGTGAGTCTGGCGTTCGTTCCGTGCCGCCCCGTCTTCGGCCGTGGGGAACGGCTGCTGACGAAGCTTTGTCCTCGTCCCGTCGCATCCGCGTTGATATCGTGCTGGATGTGCGTGCGATGCGCAGGGCCCCCAAGGCCTCGAGAGCAAGGGCAGGGAGCAGGTGCTGCGCAACGCCGAGGAGCTCCTCGGCCGTCCGCTCGCGGGTCCGTGGGCCTTTTCTGCGTAGGCCTTGTGGCTCCAGTGACTTATATAGGAATGCAAGGATCGACAATGCACCCTGCGAGAGATTGTTGCGAGCGTCTGGCCTCGTGTCAATGATTAAAGCAAGCTGCTACGATTACGAGGAGTTGGCGGGAGGCGGTGCGCCGGCGTGATCGGCGGCGAGGTCCGGAAACGCCTGGTCGAGGGCGGCCGTCAGCTTGAGATTGTACTCCTACAGGCAGGAGCGGGACAGGAGGAAGAGGAGGAAATCATCATCAGTGTCGCTGCAGTGTCGTCGGAAGCGCAGCTCGCGCGGCGTCCGACTGACCTTGACGGCGGCGTGCTGGCCGTACGAGTACTGGTTCTCGGCGGCGAGGCGGGTGACAAAGTTGCGCGTGTGGATGTCGGGATTGCGGCCGGCATCGAGCATCCTAGAGCGGGGACAAGCGGCGTGGGCGGGAGGGCGTGTCAGCGCGGAGTCGAGGAGCGGGTGGGCGAGGGATGGGTGCACTCACTCGACAACGTCTTCGGGCACCATCGCCTTGATGTTGACCTTTGTGGCGTCGAGCTGCGCGAGCGCGTGTACAGTCTCGTTCCTGACGTCGTGCGGGCGAGCAGGGGTGCGTGTGGAGCCGTGAATGTCAGCGGGCGACCTCGGTATCGCAGCGGGGCAGGCGGGCCGGGCGAGACGGTGCGAGAGATGCGCGCACGTACACTTTACGAGCGACGAGGTTCTCTGAACCTGGCTGCGTCTCGGCCGCGATGACGGCGATCTGGTAGAGGTTATCGACGATGGCGCGCGTCTTGTTCTCGAGGTCTGCGCGGACCAGCTCCTCGTGCGAGCGCGGCGCCTGTTGCGATTCGGCCGGTGGTGGTGCGGCTCGGGCGGGCGGTGCGGCGGCGGCGGCGGCGGCGGCCGAACGGGGCAGGTTGGCGGCAGACTGGCGAGGCGAAGGAGAGGGCGAGGGCGATGTCGGGGTGATGGTGCGTGGTCGGTTGTTTGCGGACGCCATGGCGGGCAGATGGTGCAAAGCAGGTCGATGGTTGAGAAGTAGAGGACAGCGAGGGCTTGGAAGGCGGGCAGGTAGGACGAGCAAGGCTTCGTGGGTCGAGGGACAGAGGCAGGGTCCACCTCGGTCAGGCCCACAGCGCATCGGGATCGGCGACCTCCATCGGGCGAGTGCCGATTTCGCGCGAGAGAAGCCGCTGGCCCGGAAGCCACCACGCTCGCTCGCGGGGAGAAGAAAATTGATGACCGCCGCCCGCCCGGCTCTCACGCTCCGCCTACTCCAACCTCTCCCGACGACGGATACGACGACGACGACGACGACACCGACGACGGCGACAGACATCCTTGCTGACCGCATCACATCATCACCACCGCCACCAGCACCATCGCCGATACCGTCGCTGCCACGGTCATCGCCAATCACGCAGACACACCCGACCCCCTCTTCCAGCTCTACGCGCCCGCACACCCGCCACCCACCCGGGCGGTCCACCGACGACGACGACCATGTCCGCGCCCGGCACGACGAGGGGCGTGATGCGCTCGCTCAAGCACCTGCAGCCGCCGACCAAGGGGTCCAAGTTCGCAGTGCGGGCGCCCACGCACGCCGCGCACCGCGCCAAGTTTGTCCACGTCAAGGACCGGGTGCCCTACTGGAACATTGTGCCCGGCGACCACGTCCGGCTGCGTTCCGGCCGCGTCGGCCAGAAGCAGGGCCTCGACAGCGACGAGGAGCCAAAGATCCGCGGCGAGGGTATCGTCCTCAGCATCGATCGGGAGAAGAACTGGGTCTGGCTCCGCGATGTCGATGTGAGTCCCCGTTGCGGCCTCCCCTCTCCCCGGATGGTAGTCGGACGCACGCTCTTGATCTTGACCCCCCCTTCCCCTTGCACCGCACATCTTGGTACTGCGCTCGATGCCACCACCTTGACCGACACAGGAGCAGAACCAGCTCTCGCCCAAGTCGCTGCGGCACGTTGTCCCTCGATTGGTGGACCCGGGAGACCCGTCCAAGGGCTACGGCCCCAACGTGTCCGAGATCCCGCGCCCCGTCCACTACTCGAACCTCATGCTCAAGATCCCCGGCTCAGAGTGAGTCGAGTCGAGAGAACCGCTGCGCCCCGCCTCGGCTGGCATCCACCGAGAGCAGCCCCCGTTTCCGCACCGCCAGACTGCTGACCGGACCCTCCGTCCTCCGTCCTCCATCCTTCAACTTCGATCCCACCCTCCCTGCGTCCGCCCGCGCAGACAATACGCGGTGCGGCTGTCCCGTTCGCAGGTCAAGTACGACAAGCGCAAGGGCATGTTCAAGTGGAAGCGCTTCGCCACCATCCGCAACTCGGAAGACGAGATCGCCAAGACGGGCAAGACGTTTGAGAAGGTCGAGGTGCCGTGGCCCAAGCTGCCGGGCAGGAAGAGGAGTGAGTGTCCGCCGCGCGTGTTTCCAATGCCTGCGTTCGAGGGGGATCCGGATGGCAGCCGCACAGATGTGCCGCCGAACGAGGAAAGGGGACGTCGCATGCTGACCCTCGCCGACACGCCCGCTCGCTGCCTTGCCCATGCCCTTTGCCCTCCCCTCTCTGCCCCGCTGCAGCGCTCGACTCGTACCACAGCGCCTCGTTCGAGGTCGAAAACGAGACGTGGGCGCCATGGCGACCCGAGGACCCCGTGTACCTGCCCGGGCCGGCGGCACGGACGTCTGCGCAGTCGGAGCTGCACGCCCAGGCGCTTCGGCTGCAGCGTGGCGGGATGAGCGAGGCCAAGCTGGCCAAGTCGGGCATCACGCTTCCCGCCGCGCTCGAGATGCTCAAGCTGCGCAGCGGCGACACGAGCGGCGGCAAGGTGGGCACCTACGCCGGCTTCAAGACGGCGCGCGCCAAGTCGGCTCCGATCGCGCAGCCACCCACGCCCGCCGAGATGGTGCAGGCGCAGCGCCGCGACGTCGGTGGCTGGGCGAGCGATGCCGATATCGTCCGGCACAGGCGCAACGGCGGTCTCGCCTTCGCCGCTACCGACTACCTCGACATCGCACCGCGCCACGGACCCGCCCACGGCGGAGACTGGTCCGACCTCCCGCACTCGACCCAGCACGGCGGCCTCGACGGCGAGCGCGACCGCGCCACCGGTCGCCTCGTCAACGGCCTCAGCCGGAACGACGTCGACCGCATGCCCATCGAGCTCCTCATGAAGAATGACCTCGTCAACGAGTCCGGCCTCAAGTGGAGGATGCGGAGGTGGAAGGACAAAAAGGCCCACGAGCAGGAGCAGGCCGCCCTCCTCAACAGGCAGCGCGACAAGCTCCTCCGGGAGCTCAACGTTCTCAAGATTTAGATCGAGCCGGCGCTGTAGCCGCTCACCGACATCGAGATCGACATCGAGATCGAGGCCCAGTGTGTCAATGGCATGCCGCTTACGCATTTCACCGCCCGCACCGACGCTCGCCGGCGCTACATCTCTCGCGCGCAGCGACGCGCACACTCTTGACCTACCCCCTGCCATGCGTGCGCCACCCCGCTACTAATCCCCCCGCTGGCTGGCCGGCCCCTGCCGCATGGCAATCGCCCGGGCGGCGGGACGGCGGAGCAGCATGCCCCGCAACCGTCGCAGCACGTGGAGCGCCAGCAGGGGATCGCCGCGACCAGTGATCTTGCGGAAGGCGTACAGAAAGACGCTCGAGACGAGCGCAAAGCTGACAATGTCGAGCGCCAGCCGCGCCGCCAGGTTGAGCAGAGCCACCAGCAGCTTGAAGGATGCCGAGAGGAGGGTGGTGGGCGCCTGGCCCCGGCCCCCCGCGTGGCCTCCGCCCGATGCGAGGAAGCTGGGCGCCAGCGCCTCGGACCGCGGGCTGCGCTGCGAGGTCGACTCGAGGCCCAGCAGCGCTCGGATGTCGTGCACGACGTTGCCGAGGGCGGCAAACAGCCGGCCCGTCGCCGTGCTACCGCCCGCTGACCCGCGCCTCCTGCGCGCATCGTCGCCGCCGGCCTTTGGCACGGCGCTCTCCACCTGGTTCAGGCGCTCGTGCAGCGCGGCGAGCGACGCCTGGATCGACTGCAGTGCCGTGTCGATCTCTGGCCGGTTCGAGGGCGGGAAGCCGGCCGTCGATGGCGGTCGAGGGATGGGCTGCGATGACGGGCCCGCCCGGCCCCCGGACCGACCGCCGATGGAACTCGGCGCGTAGGCGCTGCGCGTGTACTGCTGCGGCTCAGCCGGCCGCTGTTGGTGATGCGGATGGGGATGATGATGGGGTGCTTGGGGATGAGGGTGGTAGGGCGTCGCGGCCGAAGGGGCCGGGGACTGCAGCGTCGAGTGGAAGCGGTTCGATGCGCCCGTCACAGACGAAGGGCGGTGGGCGCGCAGACCCAGGGCGCTCGGAGGCGGCGACGAGATGTGCGAGCGGGGCGCGCCGCTTCGTGTCCGGTTGTTGGAGCGCGAGGCTGGATGGCCTTGCTGGGGAAAGTAGGATCGGTCGGGCCCTTGGCCGGATATGGCAGCCTGGCGGATCCGCGGGTCAAAGTCATCGCCGTCGTCGTCGTCGTCCGAGTCGTCGGAACCGCTCTCTTGCGAGTCGGAGGCGAGCGGCGTGGCCGCGAGCGAAGCTTGGTTGCCCCCGCGGGTGGCGGCGGTGCTGGTGCCGGCTACCGAGTCGGGCCGCGCGAGCAGGCTGTCGGTGCTGGGCCCTGCCTGAGGCACCCTTGGACGCCCCTCCCAGGGCCGGTCCTGATGCGATCTGCCCGGGGCCGAGGCACCCGTCATCTCGGAGTGTAACCGCCGGGGTTGGGCGGGCTGGTTGTCGTCTGCATCGTCGGAAGAGGCGGTGGAGCCGTCGGAATCGACCTCGGCCAGCGAGCCTGCAGTCGTCGGAGGAGAGCGAGGCATCAGTCAGCGCGAAGGCGATCCGGAGGCTGTTTGGCCGCGCGGGAAGCTAGCTTACCGTCCATGACCCTCTGTGCGACCTGTCCGGAGAATGCCTCGAGCTCCTCGATGAGAGCGGCGGCCTGCGGTCGGTCGCTGAACCTCCTCAGAATCTGGTGCGGGCAAGGTTGGGAGAGAGTGGCGTGAGTTGGCGCGGTGCGTGCGAAAGCGGCGACTCGGGACGGTGGCTTGGGCAAGGAGCGACGGACGAGGTGCGGCAACTTACCCTGAGCATCGACTCGACGTACATCTGCTTTGCGTCGCGGGCTGGGAGGCCCCTGACCTTGGCCCATGCGTCCCTGAGGGGAGGTGAGGTGAGAATGACAAGGGTGCGAGACCAGGCTGGTGAGCAGGCAAGCCCGGAAGGCCGAAGGGCGGCAGGGAGGACGCACCACTTTGCTCTGCCGAGCATGTCGAGCATGCCCGGGCGCTTTGACTGGACGTCACCCTCGGTAGCTGCGGTGGGGCGGAGGGAAAGCGGGTGGCAGCAAGGGGGCGAGTGGGGTGAGAAGGCAAGAGAAGAGGAGGGGCGACCTGGGCGGACAAGGACCCGGCTCACCCTGCTTGTACAGGCTGTAGAGGGCGAGTTTCTCCTCGTAGGATGTCTGGATGGGGCCTTGCTTTGGCAGCGACTGTACCATGTCGACGGTCCTGACAAACAGGCTGGAGAGGGGCGGACGGGCAGGGAGGAGGCAGGAGGCAAGAAGATGTTTGGCGTGAGTCGGTGAGTGTTGGCCCGGGTGCGTGTGGGTGTACAGGTGGTGGATACGTTACGCGTCGATGACATCTGCGCTGCTCATGGCGGGCGACTAATTTGGTGGGTGCTGGGACGAGTGGCTGGCTGAACGGCGGGCGGCAATCTAAGTTGTCGAGCGGCAGGCGTGGTGCATGTGGCGCCGAGAGGTGATGGAGGCGGGGCGTGACGACGGCGACCAAGAGGGTGGCGAGGGGGGCGGAGCCGGCACGACAAACGACGACGACGACGACGACGACGACGACGACGACGACGGCGACGGCGGGGGGAAGGAGTGCGGTCGGACGAGGATGGTGGGGACGACGCTGTCTTTGGTTGGTGATGGCGAGGTGCAAGAGGCGTGCGGGCAAGGGCCGACGTGAAAGGCAACAGGTCGAGGGTTTGCCTTGGCTGCCTGGCAGGCTGTGTGCGGGGCAAGGCTGCCGTGCCTCCTCTGACCGGCTATCCACCGGGTCAGTCGGGCGGCATGGGGCCTGCTGGCCTGGCCAGACGAGCGAGAGCCAGCCAGAGCGGGCCGCCTGCCATCCGATGTGATTTTCCCGTGCTGCTGCTCCACACCTGGCCCCCGCCCGTCGTCTTCAGTCAAGAGTCGGTCTTCTGCCCTGCCTGGCCCGGGCTCGCGTTGAAAGCCGGCCCTGCATCCTCGGCTTGCTCCCCCGCCTTTGCCTCTTCATTCTTGTTCCTTCCACATCGACCGCATCCACCAACTCCCACTCTCCAGCCTCCATCGCACTCGAGCACAACCATACCCGCAATCCTCGCTCTACCCCACCAGCTCTGCTACCCCCCCACCGCAGCAGCAGCAGCAGCAACGATGCCCTCCTGGTGGAAGCGCACCCAGTCCTACCTCTCCTCGCACTCCAACTTCTTCATCGTCACCGGAGGCATCGTCGGCGGCGCCTACCTCATCTCCAACTATGCCATCGCAAAGTTCCAGCAGATACAGGCCAAACTCGTCCAGGACAGATCCGCAAACGAAAAGTGAGCCCCCCTCCGCCCTTTGCTCGACGCCCGTCGCATCTTCTCGCGTGATCTGACACTTCCGCCCACCTCCTCCTTTTCCTCTCCCCCCTCGCCCTCGTACCGCGCGCCACAGCCTCCGACGCCGCTTCGCGCAGAACCAGGAAGACTGCACTTTTACCGTACTCGCCCTCCTCCCCACCGTAGGCGACCAGCTCTCGGCAAGGCTAAACGTAGAACAGCTCACCGAAAGCCTCCGCGCACAGTCTTCCTCGTCGTCCCTCGCCGCCCAAACATCGGACAGCCCGGCTCCAACGTCCCCAACACCCCAGACCGAATCGCAACAATCATCACAGCCAGCACAGGAGCACACCGAACCCGCCGCCGCCCAACCACAAGCCGCGCCCCCGGCCGACCAGACTCCGCCTGGCCCCGAGCAGCGTGCTCAGAGCGCCGAACCCAGCCCGCGTGCCAGCCCCAGCCTCTCCGGCGCAAAGTCGACCTTCAACCCATTGGCAAAGGAGTTTGTCCCCTTTGGTCAACGTCAGCCCACCCCGCCCCCTTCCTCGCCTTCGCAGCCAATCAAAGACCAGCCTGCAGAGCAGCAGCAGCAACAGCAGCAGCTCGACGCTCCCGCAGCCCCAGAGACCGCCGACGCAGTCTCCGCCGCGCCATCTGCGCCCGCACAGCAGCCGGCCGATGCGGGCGAGGAGTCGGTGCAGGAACCGACCACAGGCACTGCTGCCGACGGTGACGCCTTGACCGAGTCCGCGCCAGTGAGTGCAGTCCAAAGTGGTCTCCCAGCCCTGCTCTCGACCGCGATCCTGATCCGACCATGCATCCAACACCTCTTTGCCGCCAGCCGCCGCCTGCCCAGGCGCAGCCTACTGCGGAACCCTCGGCGCCTCAGCCGGCGCCCATCCAGCCGAGCCGCGAGCGTTTGGTCCAGGAGAGGCAGGCCAAACTCAAGCTCTGGAACGAGCTCAAGATTGTCTGTGAGTCTCTCCCCCTGTCCAGCTCGCCGCTGCCCTTGCTACGTCGTCGAGGCGACGGAGCGGCCGGCCCCCTTGCTGACCCGCCGCACCACTCTTCTGTCTGCTCTGTCCCGCTCGCCTCCTGCAGCCTTCTCGAGGACGGTGACTTCGCTGTACTGCGTGGCGCTCCTCACGCTGCAGACGCACGTCCAGCTCAACCTGATCGGCAGGTTTGCCTACCTGGCCTCGATCGAGGCGCAGATGATGTCGACGGAACTCGACGGCCAGCTCGTGGGCGCCGATTGGCAGGATGCCGGATCGCGCGACCAGGCGGGCCAGTTTGGACTCGACCACGAGACCGAGAGGCTCTACCTCACCTACAGCTGGTGGTTCCTCCACCGAGGCTGGGACCAGCTGGCCACCCGCGTCGTCCAGGCAGTCGAGCGCACCTTTTCCGGGTACGTGCCGGCGCTGCGGGCAATCTCGTCTCGTCTCGTCTCGCTGTCGCGTCTCTTTCTTTTCAGCTGACGCCCAGGGTTCCCTCCTCGTTCCCGCCTCCCCTTGCACCACCGGCAGCCTTCCCGTCAAGGCTCAGATCACCATGAACGAGATGCGCACGCTCGTCGGCAGCGCACGCAGCTCGGTCGAGTACGAGCTGTGCGGCGAGTCGACCAAGCGGTCCAAGTGAGTGCGCCTTCCCGCTCCGCCCCGGCTCGCCCGATGACGACGCACGAAGCGCCAGATCGCCAGACCGCAAATGAGGCAGTCACTGACGGAGCTGGCTCCCTTGCTGTGTGGTGCCCGCCGCCTTGCCCCCTTTCCGTCCGCATCGGTGCAGCTTCCTCGATGTCCTCTTCCCCGTCAGCGAGGAGCAGGAGCTCGAGACGCTGATCCAGTCCGGCGCCGTACCCGCCGACCGGGCGCTCGATACGCTGCGGACCAACCAGCGTCTACGGCTGCTCCTCGACGAGACAAAGGACATCATCGAGTCGTCCGACTTTAGCACCATCCTCCACCTCTGCCTCGACCGCGTCTTCGACGTCTTCTTCACCACCATGTCGCCCACCTTCGGCCTGGCCCCTTCGACCCCCGTCGGCGGCGGCCTCAGCGGACACGACGAGGCAGGGACAGGGACGGGCATGGGTGCGAGGATCCGCGAGATAACGGCCGACGAGGCCGAGACGCTGCAAAAGGGGCGCAGCGTCCGGCTCGCCTCGCTCTTCCCCGCCGTGGCGCGACAGAGCCAGCTGGCCATCCACGGCGTGCCCAACGAGTACATCGAATCGCTCTCCGACTCCAAGGAGCTCCGCGCCTTTTCCGCCATCATCTACGCCGCCTGGCCGCCAGAGGCGTCGCACTGAGATGCCACGCCAGACGGACCGGCAGCGCGGCCGCCCGCCCCTGCTCCTCACAGGAGGCATCCCTGTCCCCCTGGCCCCTTAAACCCCCGTCGCTCCACCTCGTCCCCGCACCCGGTGTGCCGCAACGAGCGCCGCCGTGCAGGTACGTTGCCTCTTTGGGGCGTCGCGTTGTCGCCCTCTGGCAGGTGGTAGCGACACCGATAGCGCGCGCGAGTTGGCGTGGAGTCGCACCTGTGGGTGCAATTTGTAAAAGTACAAGAAAAAGGTCGGAGGCCCGGTGAGGCGGCAGCCGATTGCCATGCAGCCATCCATCCATCCATGCAGCCAGGGTGGCAGGCCGGGGAGACGCGTGTGGCCAGGCGAAAGGCGGGCGGTGTGGCGCGATCACGACGTCTCCATGGGCACGGGAGCAGCAGCGGCGGCGGCGGCGGCAGCGGGGTCGGCCGGCTGTTTTGGCTGTGCAAAGACGCCGGCGCCGAGGTTGCGTGCGGATCGGCGCGCGTCCATAAACAGGACCTCGGTCTCTGCAATGTCGTCGACGGTGATTTCGTTGCGCCCCGCCGTCTTGGCCAGGATCGAGGCTGGGCTGAGGAGCTGCAGCGCGAACCTGTCGTTGCGTGCGTGCGTGCGTGCGTCGTCGATTCGTCGTTGGTCATTGGGGATGAGGAGGGATGGATTGAGAGGGACGGATCCGAGGAGGGGCGTGCGTGGCTTGGTGGTCAGTATTACGAGGCCCTACCGCCGAGGACGCGTCCATGGCCGCGTGGCTAGGCGAGAAAGACGGGGAGAGAACCGAGGCGGGTATGCAAGGAAGGCAGGCAGTGGCCCAAGGACGACGTGTACGCACCTCAGCGAGCTCTTGATGCCCTCGTCGGTGAGCTTCTCGAGGGCGTCTTCGGCGATGAGGTGGCCCTCGACCTTGGTGCGCAGGCGGATGACCTCGCGGATCTCGTCGCGCTCGTAGGGTAGCGTGCGCACAATCATGCACCGGTCCAGCAGGTCGAGCGGGATGCCGTGCGGCGCCACGATGCCCGTCGCCGAGCCCGTCCCCTCGTACTCGGTGCCGCGCACCGTGCTCTGCCCCCGGTTCGTGGCCAGGATGACGTGCGGGCTGATGGTCGATTCCAGCGCGCGGTTGAGGTAGGTGAAGCACTCCATGTCGAGCATGTGGACCTGTACGGTGGGGTTTGGCCACAGGACGAAGGCGAAGGAGAAGGCGGAACAAGTGCGGGGTCAGCGTGCGTCCTGGATCGTTCTTGCGATGCGTGAAGAGGCGAGCGCCCTTCCGAGCGACGCTAAGCTCACCTCGTCGATGAAGAGCACGCCAGGCACGAGCTCGGCGATGCCCTGCTCAATGTACTTGTCGACGACGCGGTTGATCTCGCCGCGCAGCTTGTCGGTCACCTCGGTGCGGCGGCCCTTGACCAGCTGCCCGACGACGCTCATAATGTCCTGGCCGCCCTGGGGCTTGGCGTTGGCCATGTCGAGGTCGTGCAGCGTCACGTCCTGCACCACCTCCTTGCGCTTGTGCACCTCGCCCTTGGGCAGCGGCACGTACTCTTCCGCCTCGAGGTCAAACTCGGTCGCATACGCGTCCGATCGTCCGACGCGCTGTCGGTGGCGCGGACAGGCAGAGGAAGACGAACGAGCGAGCTCGGGAGGTCAGCGGGGATGCCCGGCCGGCCGGCGCTCGTGGGCCAGGCGACGGACTCACCTTGACTGCACCCGTGTTGGCCTCAATGTAGATGACGTCTCCGACGCTGATGCGCTCCTTCATGATGCTCTCGTAGATGCTCGGGTCGAGCCGGAGCTGCTTGGTGCCCTTGACCGTCTTGAGGGCGATGACGACGTGCGCAATCGTCTTGCCGTAGCCCGACAGCGGGTTGTCGGCCTCGGTCGGCGTGAGCTCAGTGATCTCGCCCTCGTACACCTCCTTGGTCTCCCGGACCCGCAGGCCTGTCGACGTGGAAATGGAGACGAACAGCGAAGGGCGAAGAGCGACTCGTCAGCCAGATGCAGCGTTGAGGCAGAGAGGACGGTCCGAAGCCGGTCCGGCCAGACCGGCAGGAGCAGCAGGGACGCGTTCGGGGGGGGGGGGGGGGGACCAGCCAAGCCAAGCACAAGACTCACCGATGGCCCTGCGGAAGTTTTCCATGAGCACCTCGGTCTTCTTGACCTCGGTGCTGTACACCTCGGACCCGACCATGGGGCAGAAGGGCACTTTGTGGCCAAGCTCGTGGGCGACGCCGAGCGCCAGGGCCGTCTTTCCGGTGCCGGGCCCGCCGGCGAGCAAGAGGGCCTTGCCGGCGAACTTGCGCATCCGGATGAGGTCGAGGACCAGGCCGCAGGCCTGGCAGAGGAGCGAACAGGACGGCGAGGCGGCAGAGGGGGGAGTATGGCATCGTGAGTACGAGGATGTGGATGGGAAGTCAGTAAGGGGGTAACGAGGCCAGCCGCCGACGTACCTCGCGAGCCGACTTCTGGCCGACAAAGCCCTGGGCTGCCGGGAGCGCGAGCCCATCGTCGCCGAGACCGAGGCCCTTGATGTGCGAGTGGGTGGCGATCCTCGCCTCGCGCGACGCCCCACTCGAGCTGGGCCCGCTGGTGGCGATGGCGGGCTGGGTGCTGGCTGCGGCCGGCATCTCGGTCGATCAGGGGGGGTGGTTGGAGGGTCGCGAGGGTTGGGTGGAGGTTCGAGTTCGAAGCGGGGCGATGCGCTGATGAGGGAGGGACAGCCGGCGGAGCAAGACGAGACGAGGCGCGACCAGGTGAGAGAGCGGAAAGAAGCGGCTCTAAGGTGAAGGCTATACGGGTGCGCAAGGGGAAGAGGCGATGGTCGATGCGATGGAGGTGGCAGGATGGAAGGTTGGGGGCCTGCCCTGTGGAATTTTTTGGATGCCTTGTTGGCCTGCCTGGCTTGGCTTGGCCTGAGCCCCGCTTGGCCAGGCCAGGCAAGCCAAGCCAGGCAAGAGCGCGATCTGGGCCGTCGTGGAGCTCGCAGCGTCTCGGTCGCGCCACCTTCTTTGCGCGCTGCCCGCCCGTCTAGCCCTGTCCCGCCGCGCTGCTCGACTCATCTCACCTCGCCTCCCATCATCATGGCCAGCAGCGCTCCTCTCGATCCAGTCACGGCCGACCAGCGCCGGTCACCCCTTCAAAGACTGCAGTCTGCGCGCAGTGGCTTCTCGGCGCGCCATCACAGGGGGCGGCCCCGTCTCATCGCATCGAGCCTCTTTGGCCAAAGGTACAAGTACAAGCACAAGCGCAGTGCGGACCTAGCAGCCTGGCCTGCTTCAAGATCCCGGCTGCATCGGATCGAGAACCCACGTCTCGCCGTGGAGGAACGCCGTCAGATGGGGATCGGTGCTCGCCAGACCCACGCCTCCCCACCGCGGCATGGCATTCAGGCCCCCTCCTGCACCTCCTCCTGGCCCTCCTCCTGGTGCACTCTGATCGAACCACGGTTGCTGCTGCTGTAGTGGCTGCTGCGACTGCGCCTGCTGTGGCTGCGGCGCCGAGCTCGCCTCAATGTCGCGCACGAAGCTGTCCCACATCGCCGGGTTCTCGGACGACAACGGCATGTTGTCCCACATGGCGCAGTAATTGGCCCAGGCGGCCAGATCCGGTTGCACCAAAGACGCACCTGCCTGATCGCAAGGCACCGAGGGTTGTGGATCCAGCTGCGGCTGCGGCTGCGGCTGCGGCTGCGGCTGCTGCAGCATCTGGGCGACGGGAAGCGCTGTCGGGAGCCCCGTGGCGTCGCCGACGGGCGCAGATGCGGTGTCGACGTTTGAGCTGGCGTAGACGGGCGCCGCCAGCTCTGCGCCATCCCGGAAACGAACCGCCTCCTGGGCGAGGTCGTGCAGCGCCGAGTCCGTCGATCCGCCGAGCTGGTGCGCCCCATCGTGGCCGTTGGATCCGTCCCCGACGCCAAGCCCCTGAGCGGTGTCGAGAGACGGCGCGCCATGGCTTTGCGCGTCGGTCGAGTCCCCGACGCCCCTCGCGACGTGGCGTGCAGCCTGCTTCTCGGTCCGTCCGGCAGCATCGTCCTCGGCCTTGAACGTACGGATCGGGCTGCTGGGCCTCGTCTTGGCGCTGGCAACGCAGAGCCGCTGCAGCGTCTTGACGTGGTGGCTGGCAATCTGCCACGTCGGCCCGATGCGGTTGAGGAACTTGAGGCACTGGCTCAGGTAGCGCTCGCTCTCCTTCATCGACGCCTGCCGGCCGGGGTCCGAAGTCCAAGCGTCGTCGGACTGCAGCGAGTCCTCGTCCTCGTCCTCTTCGTCTTCGTCCGACGACCACGAGGTGCCAGAGACGGATCGGCCGCCCGGCCGGCCCGCGCCCCCACCCGAGGGTCCCGGCTCTTGGTGCTGCCTCCTGGCGAGCCTCGACTCGTGGCGGCGGTGAGCCCGGGCGGCGTGGCCGGGCGCCAAGGCAGAGTGGATGGTGGCGCTCTGAAAGATGAGGTAGACCCAGCTCGAGGGGATCTTGCGGATCCGGAACGTGGTGCTGTACACGTGGAGGATGTCGCACACCTCCTTGGCGGCTAGGCTGCAAATTTCCAGGCCCGGAGCCGTCAGGCTGCTTGGCTGCGGCGCCGTCGACGCCGTGTTGCTGTCCGCCGCGGCCTCGCCGCCGTGGAAGGAAGGGGAGAGCGGGGAGACGATGTTCTGCATCTGAGGCTGCAGCGGCACCGAAGAGAAGTCGTGCAGGGCCGAGCCGCTCCCGCTCGAGGAGCGCGCCGCGTTGCCGTTGCCATTGCCGTTGCCGTTGGGTTCGGCTTTCGACCCGCGAGCCTTGGCGGACCATCCTGCTTTGCCCACGGTGAGCAGCTGAGGGACCCTCGGCCTGTGCAGCAGGATGACGCAGATGCAGTACCAGCCCCGGACAGTCAGGATGTGAGGGCCGACGCCACGGTGAGCCGCGATGCCCGGTCGGTCCGCGCCGGGCGGGACGATCTGCTGGCCCGCGACAGGCGGGTCGGTCCACTGCAGGTGGGGCGGCAGCGCCAGCCTCCAGCGCTGCAGCGCCTCATCGAGGCGTGCGAGGACCGCTCGGTCGGCCTCGCCATTTGTGCGCCTGCGCTCGCTCCGGGCGCGCGGGCTGTAGACGCCGTCGAGGATGTGTTCCAGGATGCCCATCACCTGCGCCCACGAGTAGAAGCTGCTAATGGCATGCACCTTGACGCCCTCCATGACGTGCAGCCAGCGGGGCGGCACAAACGGCCGCGTCGTGTCGTTGAGCCACAGGTCGTACTCGTCCCGCTCGTAGACCGACGGCATGTCGGTCTCGATGTCAATGTGGCGCAGCTGCACCGGTTTCTCCAGCACGGTGGCCAGCACCTTGTCGAGGATGTAGGATGCCCACAGCACCCGCTTCTGCTCCTGAAGCTCCGCGTTGCTCGTCCCGTTACCGACGCCGGCAACACCGGGGTAGGTCGAGGCAGAGCCAGAAGCGGCGCCCGTCGCCTGCATCCTCGGCCTGTGGAGGTTCATATCGAGCGCGGTGCGAACCGCGATGCCGCTCAAGTGCCACGCGCTCGAGTTGTTGCCAAGCCCCATCTCGACGACGCTGAGCAGGATCGAGGCCTGTATTGTGGCGATGTCCTTCTCGAACCTGCCGTCGAGGATCCTCTGCTTGACCCGATTGACAAAGTGGCGGCACAGATGCCCAGACGTCCACGCTTGTTTGACGGCGGCAGCCTCGGCCGGGCAGCCCAGAAAGAGGTCAAACTGCGAGGTGGCGACCAGGTCAGGGTCCGACGTATCGGCATTGGAGTCAAACGTGGCCGATGCCACCGCCAGGATTGCCTCGAACAGGACCGGCTTCTCGGTGCGCAGAGAGTGCAGCGAGTTGATCGATGGCAGGTAGATGATGGGCCAGTGCGGGTGGATGAAGGCCTGGTAGATGTCCAGCAGCCGCTTGATGACCTCGTCGGGCAGGTGATCCTCGGCCAGCCGCGGCGACCCTCCGTCGCGGGCGCCGCGCCGCCCCGCTATGCCATGATCCGGTCCATCCTCCGACGCTGGACCGGGCGGAGGCGAGGCCACCGGTGCCTCGACACCAGGATTCGTCGAAGTGTAGAACGACGTGCCCGGCGAATCGTCGTGGGGGCGTTCCGAGGGCGAAGGGTAAGCACTTTCCCTCTTGACGCGAGGCACAGCATCGCCGCCGCTGCTCCGCTCGTAGCTGGTGGCCGCGGCCGAGCTTGGTAGCTGGCGATGGTAGTTGTACGAGGTGGCAGGACCATGGCCCAGGGACGGCGCCCGCGGGGAGAAAGAGCCGCGAGGGCCCGACGGCAACCAGGACGAGTGCGGGCTCGGGGCTTGCGCCAGCGCCGGAGGACTCGAGGCGGACTGCAGCGCCGCCAAGCCGCCGGTGAGGAGGCTATTCGGGCTGCCGGCCGAAGTCAGATAGCGGTTGTACGTCCCGGGTCCGTTGCTCTGCTGAGTAGCCGCCGACCCGATCGCGTCCATAGGGGGGATCCGAGGTTGGGCATAGCTATGCTGGACTTGAAGCGCGGGATCCTGACTGTAGAGGTGCGTGTTGGTGGATGGCCGCGACAGGTAGATGGCAGAAGAGTCGTAGTCCCGAACTCCATCCCCGTGGCTATACGCCCGACCGGGCAGGTGGCCTGGCCGCTTCCAGTTCAGAGGCGGGTGCACCTGAACACGCATCAAGGGCAAAGGTCAGCACGGGTTCGCATCGTCGAGCCGCGTGCGATTCGAAAAGCACTACTCACGCTGGTCTGCGGTTCGTTCGTTGGACGCCACTGGGCCGAGGGCTCGACAGCCGTGACGCCTGTCTCGTTCGAGCGGGATCTGGTCGATGCGTCGCGAGCGACAATGTCCCAGCTGGCGAGGTCGCGAGGCCGAGTGGCGCCTACCAGACCGTCGACGACCGAGTCTACGTCCGACCTGCGCGACCTCGAAAGCGGAGCGTCGACGGAATTGAGCGACAGGACGTCCTCGATCGCAGGGAGCCGGCTGCCTCCGTTGGGGTGTCCATGATGGGAGACCAGAGGGTTGACGCCAACGCCGACCCCGGCCGCAAAGTGTTCGTTGGGATGCTGTGCTGGCTGCCGAAGCGTTTGGCCCTGATCGACGGCGGCAGTGCTCGGCATGTCGCGCTGATTGGTGCTGGAAGGGAAGTCTGCGAGCTGAGGTCGCGGGCCGGCGCTGCTGGGCTCGTCGCTGGGCGAGACGGCGCGTCTCTTCTTGACGCCGCCACGCGCGGGGGCACCCTTGGGCGGTCCGCGCTTCCTGGGCGTGGTGTAGACGCACTCGTGGCGTCCACGCGCGCACGAAGAGCACGGCTGGTTGCCGTCGCACTTTGCCTTTCGGTGCGAGCAGTGGGTGCATGCTCGGCTGGATCGGACCCTCGTCGAGTCCTGTGCCGGCTTGACCAGGGGCGACGAGAGGCGCTGTGGCTGAGGCGCAGAGCCAGGCGAGTCGAAGTAGCCCGCCATGCCTGTTGCAGCTGCGGCTAGTCAGCCCAGCGATTCGAGACGGTCGTCGATGTACACGGGACGATGTATGGCAGGCTTGGTATGGTGGCGCGCGGTAGGGTGGCGGGGAGCGCGGGTGGACGTTTGAGCAGAGCGAGCGAAGAGCTGGCGCAGCACAAACGCCGGACGTTGCGCGAGACGATTGCGGTGATTTGGGAGGACGATGGAGGCACTGATTCGAGGATCCGTCCGCCGTGACAACAAGCTCAAGCTCCTGTTTTCGGGACAGAAGTTGCACCGTGAAGCGCCATCGGCCGGACACGGCTGATCTAGATGAGGTCGGGCGTAGTGGCAGGCACGGGCGCGCGCGCGAGGGCGAGGGCAGCCACTCTGATGCGGGCGGTGCGCGTCGCTGTGCGGCAGCTAGCGATCCCCCTCTGGCGGGTGGGTGCGCGGGGAGGCAGGATTGATGTGCGGGCTGTTGCCGCTTGGTAGCTTATGAAGTCGCGGGATCTAGGGCGGGCCCGCGCTCACTACGGCTCTGAGGGCGGCCGGTCGGCCGGAGCGCTGCCGAGCCTAGGCTGCGTTATGAGGTGAGGTGCCGACCTGCCTGCCTCTGAATCGTGTGCACGGACGATGCAATCGATGGGATCCGATAGCGCGCGCCAAGGTTCGGGCTGATGGTCCGCGACCGAGCGGATGGCGGGCGTGAGCAGCGAGCGGTGGCGCCTGGTAGCGGTTGCGGTGGCGACAATAATGGCGAGGGTGCAGTGTAGTACGGCAGGGCAGTAGTAGTAGTGAATCGACTCTGTAGTGATGCCTCGGTCCTGTTCCGTTGCGTTGCGGGGCGGCGTGTGGGACCGAGCAAGAGGCGAGGCTGCGCCGACGAGGGTCGTGTCCTGACGGGTCGAGGTGGGTGGGTGCTTGGCAGGAGCGAGAGGGGGGCAGGGTATCGTGATGGAAGCAAGCAAGCAAGCCAGCAAGCCAGCAAGATGATGAACAGGGTCGGTGCAGGAGGGGGATCTTGAAGCGTTCTGAGCGAAGCCTGAACGAGAAGAAAAGCAAGAGGCCGGTAGGTGTTGGGTGAGGGATGGCAAAATGCATGAGCTGGGCAGGCCACGACCAAGACAAGGTTGGGATGGCAGGCTAGGACAGGCTACAGGGTTGGGTGCAGGCAGGCAGGCAGGCAGGCTAAGGTTGTGGGTGGTTGGGTGGGGCGCTGCAGCTGCGCCCTGCTTGCCTCCACACAACGGCGGGGCTGCCTGCCTGCCTCTGGGCGGCATGAGCCTGGCCTGTCCTGTCCTGGCCTGGCCTTGCCTCCTAGAGAGAGAGAGGGACGGACGCTTGACTCGCCCGCCGGCCCAGCCCTGCCTGCCCGCCCGCCTGCCTGCTTGCATGCTTCAAGCTCAGCGCGCCTGCTCTGGTGCCCGCTCCAGGTCCCCGCATCGCCACCGTACCCAGCCCATCCCCATCCCGCACCGTCGTGCTCCAAGGCAGGCGAGCCGCTTCGAGCTTGACGGAAGGCGAGCCGCTTCGAGCCTTTTCGGACCAGTCCAGCACTTCCTCCAACGTGACCGTCATTCCGCTTCGCGTTCGTCGATGGCCCAGCGCGAAGGACCCGGCGAGATTAGACGCCCTACCCTCTCGCTCAGCTCCAAACCAGCCAATCACAGCATCACCTCGCGACGCTCAAGCGGACTGAAGCGGTTCAGAGAGTGCGGTGACAGTGTGGGTCGGCTATGTACACGGCAGGGCTCGACGCCATCGACCGGCCGAGGGCGATCCCTCAATGCCGCAGAGCAAGGAGCGGATCGATCAGAACTTCGAGTAGAGGATCAACAGGATCAGCAGCACCAGCACCGTCACGATGCCCATGGTGACCAGTTTCTGCTGCTTGGCCCTGAGTCGCAGCAGCAGCGGCAGCGGCGGCGGCGGAGTGTCGTTGCGCACGCAAAGGTCGGGTCGGATCAAGGAGGGAGGCATGGGTCGAGGCGGGAGTCTCGAGCGTGAGCGACGGCGACGGCATCACGGAGCTCAGGGAGGCATCGCAAGGGGAAAAGCTCAGCTCACCTTCGGATCATCTTGCTCAGCGTCCGAGACGACCGGTCAATGTTGGCATCGGCTTGCCTCAGCTGCGAGGGCGACACGGATCAGGGATCGACAGTCAGCCGGGCGCTCGCGCTTCCACTCTTCCACGCCTCGCACTCACCGTATCTCTCGAGTGCTCAATCTGCTCCCTCTGACCCCGCAGATCCCTCAGGATGTCGGCGCCCATGTCCTCGGTCTCGAGCGCCAGCCGCTGGCTCTCCTCGAGCCGTCTCGTTCCGTCCTCGAGCGTGGCCGTCCCCTGGAGCAGCCGCTCCCTCTGGCTCCTCGTGCTCTGCGCCTCCAGATCGCCCCCGTTGCCTTCTTCCAGCGCAACATTGTACCCGCCGCCGCCGCCGCCCGAGGTGGCGTTGAAGGCGCTCTTGACCTCGCGCTTGAGCGCCTCGACCTCGCCCTTTTGGCCCCGCAGCTCGACCATGTACCGCGACCGCACCGACTGCGGGAACGAGGATATCTCGAGCTCCATCTGCGACAGGATCTCGCCGCACTCTTCCAGCTCCATGTCGAGCCGGCGCAGCGAGGCCTTGCGAGGCTCGCCACCGGCGGGCAGCGAGTCGACCTTGGAGCGTACCGACGACACCAGCGTGCTCAGGTCCGAGCTGTACGACGAGAGGAGGTCCGACATTGTGAATCGATCGGTTGGCGGGGTACCAGGGTGTCGATCGGGGCTAGAGCCGGGGCGCAGGCAGGCTGTCCAGGTGTGTCCAGGGTCCTATAAGATGGCGAGGTTATTCCAGTGCCTGGATTTCGTCGAGGCGGGCGTCAGGGAGCGCGGATGCCGACCAGACTTGCGGTGTTGTGAAGACTGCCGGCGACGGTGGTGGTGACGATCGCGGTCAAGAGGCGGTAGGGTGGAGTTCTGCAGCGAGGCAAGGCCAGGGTGGATGATGGTCGTCGGGGTCCAAAAGGGTGGATCCAGGCTGAGGTAGGTGGGGTGGAGCCCGTTCGTCCGTCCGTGCTCAGGAGAGCCAGGGGGGCGGTGCCCGGCCTGGCCACGCTGCCGACCCCTCCAGATCCAGGCGCACAGCCGCGAGCTAGCTGTGCCTGACCCGCCTCGGGCCGATTTTGGATCAAATCGGGCGGGCGCGGACGGGCCTCACGCTCGCCGTCGTCCCGCTCGTCGTCCCCTCCGTCGTGCTGTGCTGCTGCCTGGCCACTTTGCCCGCGGGCTCAGCCAGGTCTTTTGCCCCAGTCTCGATGTCACCTAGTATCGTTCTTCTACCGACTCGGAATGGTCCTCTGGGCAGATCTCCGTCCGTCGTGGCCGCGCAGCTACAGAGGCGAGAGACGACGTACGCTGGTCCCTCGCCCCGCCCGTCCGCCCGCCGCCCGCCGCCCGCCTGCTCACGACCATCCACCCGTCGATCGTCTCTATCCGCCGTTTTGTCTATCACACACGCGGCCGCCTCTCTCCGTCGTGACTTTAGGGTTCGTTATTTCTCGTACAGGTGTGGTGTGTAGAGGGAGGGAGGCGATTGGAGGACGGCGGAGGGCCGGCCGTCTCCGCACGGAGCTCGATCTACGTGGGCGGACTACAGGTGAGGTGGCCGGAGAGGTGGGAGCAACGATCCCGGCATGGCCGAGCTACGGGCGTCGACCCCGCGCAAATGACCGAGTGCCACCATCGAGTTCGCTGCCCTCGTCATCGCTTTCGCCCCGTCGCACGGCGAAGAAGGGCTGTGCGATCACGCGGGCATCTGCGTCGATCGGACCGCGCGGCGACGGTTCGACCGCCGCACAGACGGCCGCAGGGGTGCTGCTCGCTTAGAAGCACTTCCTGTGGACGATCTGGGGGCCCTGCTCGTCGTACTCCTGCTTCGAGATCCACATCTGCTGGAAGGTCGAGAGCGAGGCCAGGATCGATCCACCGATCCAGACCGAGTACTTCCTCTCCGGGGGAGCGACGATCTTGACCTTCATCGACGAGGGGGCGAGCGCCGTGATCTCCTTCTGCATGCGGTCCGAGATGCCGGCGTACATCGTGGTACCACCCGACATGACAATGTTGCCGTAGAGGTCCTTCCTGATGTCGATGTCGCACTTCTGGATCGACTCGAAGGTGGCCTCGTGGACACCGTTGGCCTCGAGGCCGAGGAACGAGGGCTGGAAGAGGACCTCGGGCGTGCGGAATCTGGCGGGCGGGCGGGGACGGGGACGGGGGCGAGCAGGACAAGTTCAAAGTCAGTCAACCGTGCGCCGTTTTTGCCGGGCGACCGAGGGGCCTGCCGCTGACGGCGCGGCCACTACCGCTACTCACCGCTCGTTGCCGACGGTGATGACCTGGCCGTCGGGCAGCTCGTACGACTTCTCGAGGGCCGACGACTGGGTGGCGGTGAGCATCTCCTGCTCAAAGTCGAGGGCGACGTAGCAGAGCTTCTCCTTGATGTCGCGGACGATTTCGCGCTCGGCGGTGGTGGTGAAGGGGTAGCCGCGCTCCATCAAGATGCGCGAGAGGTACTCGGTCAGGTCGCGACCGGCGAGGTCGAGACGGCGGATGGCGTGGGGCAGCGAGTAGCCCTCGTAGATGGGGACAGTGTGGGTGACGCCGTCGCCCGAGTCGAGGACGATACCCGTAGTACGACCGGAGGCGTAGAGCGACAGGACGGCCTGGATGGCAACGTAGAAGGCGGGCGAGTTGAAGGTCTCGAAGCAGATCTGCGTCATCTTCTCACGGTTGGCCTTGGGGTTGAGCGGGGCCTCGGTGAGCAGCACGGGGTGCTCCTCGGGGGCAACACGCAGCTCGTTGTAGAAGGTGTGGTGCCAGATCTTCTCCATGTCGTCCCAGTTGGTGACGATACCGTGCTCGATGGGGTACCTCAGGGTGAGGATACCACGCTTCGACTGGGCCTCGTCGCCGACGTACGAGTCCTACAGCGACAGCACCGCGCAGAAGAGGCGTGGTGAGGCAAGAGAGGGGCCGGGGGAAAAGGCGAGCAAAGGTCAGCTCGCCATTTCTTCGGACCAAGAGGGAGCGCGCGACTCTCGCGTCCGAGGCAGCGAGCCCGGTGCGCGTCCACCGGCCGGAACTCACCTTCTGGCCCATTCCGACCATGACACCCTGGTGGCGGGGACGGCCGACAACCGAGGGGAAGACGGCACGGGGAGCGTCATCACCGGCGAAACCGGCTGCAGTCACGCAAGAAAAGGTACAGAAGAGCTCGGGTCAGGCGCTGTGCTGCGAATGGGGCACGATCTGAACAGGAAGCTGCAGCTTTGGGCCACTCACCCTTGCACATGCCGGAACCATTGTCGATAACGAGCTGTGAGAGAGCAAGGAGGGAAAGTGGCGCAGATGGCGATGAACGGTGATGGAGAACGCTTCAGCATCTATACCTCCAGTGGCTGGTGACAGGAGGCATATGTGTAGTGTGAGGCCTGGTACTCACGGCAGCGACTTCGTCTGTGGGTGTCGGGTAGGCACGAGGTCCGATGGGCACAGAGCAGAATAGCGAGCAAGGGTCGTCAGTGATACCGTGCGAGGGCATGCTGCTGAGATGGCGCGAGACATGCGAGCATCGAGCCCTTTTGCGTGCTCGATGTGATATTGCTGTGGCCGCGACCAGCTTCGGTCAGGCCCAACTCGGAGCTGGAGGACCAGCTGGGCGGAGAGGGCCGGCTGGGCAGGTGGCGATGGATGGCAGACACGCAAGAGCCAACATCTCGACCGTGGTGGCGGCGAGCGGGTGGTCCATCTGCGAGCGAAAGCAGTGGAGCCACTGCGTCAAACCTGAGGAGATCCCCGGGCTGGGTCGACCACCGCCGTCGGACCCCCCTCCGAACCCTCCGGCAGAGTTGGCCGGCCAACTGCAACGGCCCTCAACGAGACTTGGACGGCAGCCAACTCACCCTCCATCTTGGCTGAGTGCTTCTGAGTGTTGGTGAAAGGGAGAGAGGTGTGAAAAAGAAGAGGGCGATAGAGGTGCGCTGAGTCCGAGGATGCTCTTGGGTGGATGAAGATGAGAGAGAGAAGGGGAGAGACGGCCAACAGGGCACAAGGGGGCAGCCAGGTGCGAGCGAGCGACCGACCGAGCGAAGGGGGGTCGGGCGCCGCCGCCCAAATCGAGCAACGGGCGGCCAGGCAGGCCCAGGCAGGCTGGGGTCGCACGCAGCACGCAGCACAGC